CGGCAGACAGGTAGGGTTTCACATAGGACCGACCGTTTTCAAAATTTACTCGACCGTTTTAAGTAAAATTTTAACACATCAAAATAGACTCAGAAAGGCACATAATCACAAGGTTTTCAGATCCAATACTTCAGTTAACACAATCAACTGATTTTTACAAAAAGACGATTAAAATCTGAACTTTCTAGTTCACCGAGCAATCCTTTGAATTTTTCAATGAAATTTGGACACAACATACATTTCATCAAATCACTGACCCTCACCAAAATTCACAGAAAAATACCAAGTACTCGATTTTTAATGATTTTCCCAATTTTCTGGTAAGATTTTCAAATCGGCAATTAACATAGCTACAGACCTTATTTTAACTTGAAATATTTACACAACCTATAACATCATCAGAGGGTTATACAGGTCAAATTTCGCAGCAATCGGACGAGTATAAAAATTTAAATGATTTTTCGAAGATCCAGCCGCACAATACGATTCAAAAATGCACAACAATTAAATCAAACAATAATTTCGTCTAAGGCCTTCATCATCATGCCAAAGACTTCAAGTGTTCCATATATCCACAGCAATTAACACGATTTAACACAAAATCACGATCGAATGACATAAACCAATAAATTGCGAATAAAATCGATCATATAGCAAGCAATAACATGAGATCTCCCAACAAGTCATCATCTCAAAGCATATATATACTAAAATAATATGGAGTAACAGCCTTGTACCGTTCTCGGGATAAATCGCACGAGAGGGAGGTGAACGGGCTGAGGGAGATCACGGTCGTGCGGGGAAGCGGGCCTGCGGGGGCGTTGGCGGCTTCGCGGGCCCTGGGGGTGTCTCGGGCGTGACTGCTGGGCCTCGGTGGCGTCGGGGAAAATGCGAACTGAGGCCTGGGGAGGTGCTCCTACGGCCTGGACGCGCGACGATGGGCCTGACGAGGCACGACAACCGGGTGGTGGCGGAGGGCTGGCGCGGCGATAAAAAAATAACGAGAGAGAGGGAGAGGGCGAGAGAGAGATCGGGGAGGGAGGGAGAGAGATGGGAGTGGCGGCTGAAAAAATGAGGGTGAGAGGAGGGATGATCATCTCATATTTAAAGGGCTAGGGCTTGGTGACTTACCATACAAGTCACTTGCCAAAACAACACCACCATAAGAAAGGAAAGAGAGAGGGAGGGGGCGGATTGCCTAGGCGCGGTCGAGGCTCACGGGCGTGCGACTCTCGGACGCACATGGCTCGCGTTTTCGAACAAGCTCGGTTCGACGAAATTAAAATACAATAATAATTAAAATATTTAAAATACTTAAAATAATATTTAATATCTAAAATAAAATACCGAAAATATTATACATATAATAAACACAATTAGACACATAAAAATTATTTAAGCATTTAGACAATTATCATTCAATAATAATAGCCACAATTAATGATAAAAATAATAATAATAATAACAATAATCAAAATTATTCATAAACGAACGGGGCGTCACAGTCTACCCACCTTACAAAGAATTCCGACCTCGGAATTCGAAAACGAAACTAGAAAGCGATAAAAGATACAAGGAGGACTCAGAACTAAAAGTTTGGATAACGCCTCCTAATGCTGTCCTCCCTCTCCCAAGTCGCCTCGGTCTCATCGTGTCGGCTCCACAGCACCTTCACCAAGCTCACTGCCCGGTTCCTCAGCTGATGGACCTTCCGATCCAAAATAGCTACCGGCACCTCCTCATAGGTAAGGTCTCGCTCGACCTGCAGCTCGCCGAAGTCCACGACATGATCAGGGTTATGCACATACTTCCGAAGCATCGAGACATGGAATACATCGTGCACACCCGACAAATCTGGTGGTAAAGCTAGCCGATACGCTAAGTTCCCGACTCGGTCGAGGATCTCGAACGGCCCAATATAGTGGGGTTTGAGCTTTCCTTTCTTCCCGAAGCGAATCACCCCTCGCATGGGTGAAACCTTCAGAAGAACGTGATCTCCCACCGCATACTCATGCTCATGCCTCTCCCGGTCAGCATAGACCTTCTGCCTCTCCTGGGCAGACCGGATGGCCTTCCGGATCTCCTCAACGGTCGCGGCAGTACTCCGAACAAAGTCCGGTCCGGTGATCCTCCTCTCTCCGACCTCATCCCAATACAAAGGAGTCCGAACCTTACGTCCGTATAAAGCCTCGTATGGGCACATCTTGATCGAAGAATGGTAGCTGTTGTTGTAGGTCAGCTCGACTAGCGGAAGGGCATACTCCCAAGACCACAGCCCTCAAGATATCCTCCAAGTACTGGATCACACGCTCCGACTGACCATCCGTCTGGGGGTGAAAGGCTGTACTGAACTCCAACCTCGTCCCCATGGCTCGGTGCAACGTCCTCCAGAACTGGGACGTGAACTTGGCATCTTGATCCGAAACAATCTCCACGGGTACTCCATGAAGCTTGACGATGTCCTTGACGAACAATTCGGCGTAATCATTCGCCTTCATGGTCGTCCGGACAGGCAGAAAATGGGCAGACTTCGTAAGGCGATCCACTATCACCCAAATAGAATCATACCCGCCCCTCGACTTCGGCAGTCCCACTAAGAAATCCATGATGCACTCCCACTTCCACAGGGGAACCTCAAGGGGCTGCAACAACCCTCTCGGTGTTTGGCGCTCAGCCTTCACTTGCTGACACACCAGGCACCCATCCACGAACTTCGCTACCTGCCTCTTCATGCCTCGCCACCAGAAAGATTTCCTCAGGTCCTGATACATCTTCGTGCTACCAGGATGGATGCTGTACGGGGCACTATGGGCCTCTCTCAAGATCTCCCTTCTCAGCTCCCACACCTTTGGGACACAAAGTCTACCCTCGAAGACCAAGGCCCCATCAGGTGCGACTGCGAATCCACTAATTCTACCGGCTTCCGACAACTCTCTTATCCGGCATAAGAAACGGTCATTCGGTTGCTCGGCGACTATCCTCTCGAAAAGAGTCGGTCCCACAACTAAAGAGGCCAACATGCCCCCGAATGTCGAAGCCGACTCCACTGTCTCCAGCTGTAATCGCTCAAACTCCCGAAGAAGAACATCCTGCCTGGTGAATAAGCAAGATAGCTGGCTATAACTCCTCCGACTAAGGGCATCGGCTACCACATTAGCTTTCCCAGGATGATAGCTAATAGTGCAGTCGTAGTCCTTGACCAACTCCAACCATCTACGCTGCCTCATGTTCAGCTCCTTCTGAGTGAAGATGTACTTTAGGCTCTTGTGGTCGGTAAAGATCTCACACTTGCCACCATAGAGATAGTGCCGCCAAATCTTCAAAGCGTGGACAACTGCAGCTAACTCGAATCATGAGTGGGGTAGTTCTGCTCGTGAGGCTTCAGCTGCCTCGAAGCATAGGCCATGACTTTCCCCTGCTGCATAAGGACACATCCCAAACCCATCTTCGAAGCATCACTATAGATGGTGAACTCCAAAGTAGGGTCGGGTATAGATAGGACAGGCATGGTAGTGAGTCTCCTCTTCAACTCTTGGAAACTCTTCTCGCACTGAGGACTCCAGTCAAACCTCACGGCCTTCTTCGTAAGGTTGGACAGTGGCTGGGCTATCTTCGAGAAGCCCTCGATAAACCTCCTGTAGTATCCTGCTAATCCCAGGAAACTACGAACATCTGCAACACTTTTTGGCGTATCCCATTTGCTCACTGCCTCGATCTTGTTGGGATCCACCTCAATGCCTCGAGCTGTCACAATGTGGCCAAGGAAGGCCACACGGTTCAGCCAGAATTCACACTTCGAGAACTTTGCATACAACTTCTCGCGGCGAAGAGTCTCCAGCACAATCCTCAAATGCTCCTTGTGCTGATCGATATCTCGGGAATAGACCAGAATGTCGTCGATGAACACAATGACGAAATGGTCCAGGAAGGGATGAAAGACCCTATTCCTAAGGTCCATGAAAACGGCTGGGGCATTGTTGAGTCCGAACGGCATGACTACGAACTCATAGTGGCCATAGCGGGTACAAAAAGCAGTCTTACAAATATCCGACTCCCGGATCTTCAGCTGATGATAGCCAGAACGCAAGTCGATCTTTGAGAAAACGCTGGCTCCCCTCAGCTGGTCGAAAAGGTCTTCAATACGGGGAAGGGGGTACTTGTTCTTGACTGTAAGGGCATTCAACTCCCGATAGTCAATGCACATGTGCATAGATCCATCTTTCTTCTTTACGAATAGGACGGGCGCACCCCACGGCGAGACACTCAGACGAATAAAACCGAGCTTAAGCAACTCCTGGATTTGGGCCTTGAGCTCTTGAAGCTCCTTTTGTGCCA